TTTTATAGTGTTTTTTGCAAGGGAAAGCGGGGGGGAACAAAACAACCGGATCGGAGCCCATCCACTTTTCTGAAGCTTTCGCGAAAAAATGATGAAAATGTAGCTGCGGCCTAGGCGCGGCGCAGAGGTCGCGCACCAGGGGTCCCAACAATAATAATTCTTTAGAAGGAATAATGTTCAACAACAACAACAACAACAACAACAACAACAACAACAACAACAACAACAACAACAACAAAATGTCCAGAATGCACCCTCACGTCTCTTGGCGCTGGCCGTCCTCCCTCCAGTTTGTCAGGCTTGGGGGGGAGGAGGAGGAGGAGGAGAGGAGGAGGAGGAGGAGGAGGAGGAGGAGGAAGAGGAGCAGGAAGAGGAGGAGGACAACGAGAAAAGGGGGAGGAGGAGGAGAAGGAGGAGGAGGAGGAGGAGGACGGCCTGCAGGAGGGGACGAGGAGGAGTAGGAGGAAGAGGACGAGGTGGAGGAGGAACAGGATGAAGGACAGAGGGGGGAGGAAGGAGGAGACAGTCGGGAGGAAGGAGTGGTGAGGAGGAAGCGGGGAGACGAGGGAGAAAGGAGAAGGGAGGAGGAGGAGGAGGAGGAGGAGGAGGAGGAGGAAAAGGAGGTGGATGAGGTGGACGAGGAGGCAATGGCGCTCGGGGAGCTGCTATGCAGCTTGCACATGCCTCTTATCTCTTTGCGATGGCATGGATCCAGGGCCAGCAGAAGCAGAGCAGATTGCCGCTCCTCTGGCCAAACCGGCGGGAGCACCCGGCTTCAACCACCCACACACCCTCCACCAAGACGAGGGCCCCATTTCGGCGGGGGTCCGAGGACCCCCCCTGGTCAGAGCGAGGAGAGCCAGCTGGCAAGGCCCTTCAGACTGGGCCGCTCGAGCCAACCCGAGAGACCGAGCACAAAAAAAGAATGTCGCCACGGTATCAGTCCCCCGACGCGCCGTATACGCGCCGAGCATGTCCTCTATGTTTCTCTGCCCTGGTGCCTCTGATGATTGGCATCGCCCGAGACCCTCTCCTGCCCTTCCCTTCATGGGGCACCTCGGCCCCTGGAGGCCCTGGCACGGTCGTAGAGTTTGAGTCGGCCTCTCCCGAGGTCGGGCCCGCAGCGGCCGCCAGGTGTTTTGTCTGTCGCTGACGCGGCTCTCTGGCCTGTCCAGTCCACTCACTCCTTTCCTTCCTTCTCCTCCGCTCCTTCTTTCCTTCCTTCCTTCCTCCTCCTTCCATCCTTCCTTCCTTCCTTCTCCTCCGCTTCTTCCTTCCTTCCGTCCTTCCTTCCGCCTTCTTTCTCCTTCCTTCCTCATTCCCTCCCCTTCCTTACTTTCATTTTCCTTCTGCCTGTCCATTCCTTACTTCTCCTCCGCTTCGTCCTCCCTCCTCTGCTTCCTCCCCGGGCCCTCGCCGCACACATCCCATCTTTCCTCCCCCCGCCTCCTCCCTCGACGGGGCGGAGGAGCCTGAAGTTCCTCGTGATGATCCCAGCAGGCCTACGCTCCCCGCGCTCTGCCTCGCAGCGTGGGGCTGGCCCTCCGACCGGGCGGGGGGGTGGGATGAGGAGGAGGAGGAGGAGCAGAAAGAGGAGGAGGAGGAGGAGGAGGAGGAGGAGGAGGAGGAGGAGGAGGAGGGGAGGAGGAGGAGAGGAGAGGAGGAGGGGGAGGAGGAGGAGGAGGAGGAGGGGAGGAGGAGGAGGAGAGGAGGAGGAGGAGGAGGAGGAGAGGAGAAGAAGAAGAAAAAGGAGCAGAAAGAGGAGGAGGAGAGGAGGAGGAGGAGGAGGAGGGGAAGCAGGACGAGAGGTGGACCAGGGGAGGAGGAGGAGGAGAAGGAGGAGGAGGAGGAGGAGGAGGAGGAGGAGAGGAGGAGGAGGAGGAGGAGGAGGAGGAGGAGGAGGAGGGGGAGGATGGGCAGGAGGGGGAGGAGGGGAAGCAGGACGAGAGGTGGATCAGGGGAGGCGGAGGAAGAGGAGGAGGAGGAGGAGGAGGTCCCCCAAAAAAAGTTCGCGCACAAATTGCCTCCCCTCCTCTCTCAGGCTCTCGTCTCCGCCCTCCGCCCTCGCACGGAGGGTCGAGCAGCCCCAGGGCAGGCTTGGACGCACGGTGGCCTGACACCATGGTGTTGCGGATGCCCCCCCCGAAGTGGTGGCGGAGCTGCCAGCGGAGAGCAGGAGCTGAGGGAAAGGGTAGAAACAGAGTTCCCCAGCCCTTTTCGACTCAGAATTGGGAGGGTCACACAGACAGACAGAGAGAGAGGGGGGGAAAAGGAGAGAGAGCGAGAGAGAGAGAGGAAACCAACAAAAACCACAAGAGCAACGACTACTACAACAAAGCAGCAGCCGCAACAACAACAACAACAACAACAACAACCATAACAGTAACAACAACGACAACGACAACGACAACGACAACAACGACGACAATATCAGCAACGACGACCACACCAACAACTACAACCACAACAACAGTCACAACCACAATCACAGCCACAGCCACAACAACAGCAGCAGCAACTACAACAACAATCATGTCTAGACTGTTCGCTCTTATCTGCTCGAGTGTCATTCAACGTGTGTTTCCCAAACCTTCGATACCCGCCCTCTCCGTCTTCGATCAGACCCCTTTGAGGGGTACATGTTTTCTTCCTTGCAGGCCTGGCCCACGGAAGCGGCGGGGCGGCCGCGGACCGTCGGCCTGGCCAGCGGCAGCGCTGATCGGCAGCAACCCGACCCCAAGAGGGACGGACAGGGGACCGACCACGACGACGACGACGGCGGCGGCGGCGGCGACGACGACGAGCGAAAGCGAGAGCAAGAGGGAGAGCGAGGGCAAGAGCGAGAGCAAGAGCGACAGTGGGGCCACGAAGAGCAGGAAGGGGGCCACGAAGGGCGACAGCGGGACCACGAAGGGCATGCGTATGGGGCCACGAAGGGCGCGAACGAGCGGGAGCCACGAATGGCAGATAATGCGGGGCCACAGAGAGGAGCAACTGGGCCATTGAGGGTAACAACGGGGCCACGCAGGACAGCGAGGGGGGCCGCGAAGGACGACAGCGGGGCCACAAAGGGCACGCATACGGGGCCACGACGGGCGCGAACGAGCGGGGGCCACGAGGGGGATGCGAAGATTGAACCGCAAAGGGCAAGGACGGGGCCACTGAGGGCGGCAACGGGGCCACGAAGGACAGCGAGGGGGCCATGAAGGGCGACCCCCAGCGAGAGCGCGACTCCTGAGTAATATGCGACGAAGTCTCAGGCGGGAGCGGGGGTCCTGGCTAAATTGTGAGGAAGTCTCAGGCGGGAGCCGTTGTTTTTGTAACCCGAGGGCCGACAACCCAGCTTGAGCTGAGTGATTTTCCTTGATTGAAAAATCAGGGTGCGAGCCCCGGGGGAAGCATGTCAGTTGAAAAAACACAATGGTCACCGAAGGGGGGAACAACAATAATTATTCACCAGTAGTAAGAGCTCAAGTATTTTAAGGCTGCTCGTTCCTATCTGGTCGCGTGCCACTCAACACGTATCTCCCACACCCTCGGTACCCGCCCCGTCCGTTTTCGATCGTACCCCCAAGAAGGTATATCCTCCTTACTTACCACATGCATGTAGTGCAACCCCTAAGGCGGAGAAAGAGAGGACGGATGGAAGGGGGAGGGAGAAGGATGGAACACGAGAGAAGGTATCAGGAGGGGGTCTAGGAGCGGAAATCACGTGGTAAAACCAGACGGGCTGACCAGGCGGGCAGACCTTAGCGGGCGGGTCGAGAAGGAGGGACCAGGCGGCCAGGTTGAGCAGGCGGGTTGGATCGAGCAAGCCGGCGGGAAGATGGAAGTCAGGGTCCTGGGCCATTCAGGGGTCCTGAGGATGAGGGCCCATGTGAGCTCCCCTTCCGTGTACGTAGCCGCTGCGCTTGTGCGGCAGCGGCCGGGTCTGGTGACAGCGGCCGTACATAGCGACAGCGGCATTGCGCAGGACGGCGGCGAAAGGGTGCCGGTTCATGGCATCGGCAGCGGTTTTTTGTGGGAGGTCGTGAAGGCCCACAGCGTCCGCGGCAAGCTCGTCTGCGCGTCGGTTGCAGCATTCGGCAGCGACCGAGATGTAGCCAGCGTTGATGCCTTCCTCCCCAAAATTCGCCCTCGGCGGAGGGCCGGCGAGAGCGAAGGCGGCAGCGGAGGCGGCAGCGGGCCCGCCAGCGGAAGCGGAGGCGACACGCTTCGGGAGCCTTCTCAAGCAGTGGTCGACCACGCGCAGGAGGAGGGTGGGGGAAGGGGGAACGCGTATTAGAAGCACCCTTGCTTCTTGGAAGGCGCAGGCCTTCTTTGTCGACGTAGGGCCGGCGCCTTCCAAGAAACAGCCTCCCTCTAAGAAGCATTCCCTCCTCCCCCTACAGTCAGCCCGTATTATGAGGATGTGCGATAAGGATGCAAGGGCCTTGGACGCCCACTTCGAAGCTTTTCGAGCGGGGCGCGGCCCACGAAAGTGGCCAAGGATGCACCGAGGAGGGCAGGATGCAAGGGTACCCTTGGGAAGGCTGCCCATCCTTCCTGTGCGGGTCGACGGTACCCCTTGGGGCGCGCCGCCAAAAAGGTGGCTCCCCACCCGCTCCACGAGGAAGGGGTCCGGCTTCGCCTGGAGCATCCGGCGGACGCGAGCACAGCGGCCAGCCTTGCACGCCCCTATACACGACGGGGGGCGGCGGCCCGTCTGCAGAGGAGGGCCGTGCGACCGTCGACCACGGCTTGGTTGTTGGCGAGGACGGGGGCAGGGCGGTCGGCCGCGGCGACGAGGTGGAGCATCGCCGGCGTCTCGGCGCGTCGGGCGGACTGGTGGAGCTGGGGAGGACGGGGGCGGAGGCAGGGGAGGGGAGGGGAGGGGGCAGGGGAGAAACGGAGACAGAGCCAGAGAGAGAGAGCGAGAGAACCAGGGAGCGCGAGAGGGAATGGGAGAGGGGAGGGGGGGGGGCCAGACAGACGAGAGCTGCGCGAGAGCGCCCGCCCAGGGGTCATCGGCTTCCTCGCGGGAACCCCGATCCGCGCGCCCTTCGAGGCGCCACAGGGGGGGGGGGGGAGCAGCAGCGGCGGCGGTCCTGCGGCGGGTGCTCGAGGCGGGCCCTGCAGCGGCCGCGGGGCTGCCGATGCTGCGCCCGTCGGAGGCGCAGTGTTCTTGGCACTGCCCCCAGACGTGCTCGCGCCGTGAAAGGATCGCGACAGGAGGAGGTTTTGTAGGTTTCCAGCTTGGGGGCCCTCTCCGGGCCCAGGGACAGACCGCAAACGACCCGGCCGGGATGCAAAGTCGGCCCTTCCGGACGCCCGAAATTGGTACGGAAAGAATGAGTACAATGCCCAACAGCAGTTCTTGTTCATTTTGAACAGGACTCGCTGTCCACGCCGCCGCGGTCTGTGTCCATTCGAGACAGGAGGCCGCCCGCCCAACAGCGGCCGCTGTTGGTTTGGGACAACATTTGCTGTTGGGCATTGTACCCATTCTTTCCGTACCCATTTCGGGCGTCCAAAGCCTTGGGGGATGCGTCGAGACGTCCAGGGGGGCCGCATGGAAGAAAATAAGACGTCGGGGGTCTGGGGCCGTAACTCGAGAGCCAAGCTCTCCTGTGTTGCTTTTGTTGAACACTTTCAGCCAAGGCTGCTCAGAAGCTCGCCCGCCACATTCCAGATGAGTCGGAGTCTTTCGTCCTGGCCAGATTACAGTGGGACGTCCGCGCAACGACCAGAGGAAGAGGAGGAAGAGGAGAACGAGGATTACGTATTGACACTTCCCGCCTCCATTACGGCTCGTGGGGGGCCCCTCTTGGCCACGGCTGGACCCGGACTCGAAAAGCCGGTCGGGATGGAGACCTGGGGGGGTGGGCAGGAATTGAATCTGAGCGAGGGCGAGATGGGCTGGCCCAGACCTCTTGGGTGTCCCCCCCTCCTCACAACCTCCAAAAAGACGGCCGGATTTCTGCCGGGCAGTCTGCACCGTGGGAGGGCCGTGTTCGGGCCCCGGAGCCAGTGGAACACAGCCCGCAGCGAAGAGCCGGGACCCGGGGGGCAGGGGCCGAGCGCTCGGAGCCCACGCCGTGAGAGGGCCACGGCGCTCAGAGGTCGGGGAAGTGAGAAGGGGCGGGCCTTCCCAGAAGGCTCGGGGGTCCCCCGGCCAGCCTTCCCCGAAGACAGAAAACTTCTCAGAAGGCGCGAGGGCTTCTGAGAAGTCCCCCCGCCTTCTGAGAAGGCCTTCTCCTTCTCACTGCCCCCCCTCGCTCGCCGCCGAGTAGATCTTCGCGCAGGTCCCGGGAGGCCTCTAGAGGTCCCCGCATGCGTCCGAAGGTCCCTTCAGAACTCTGGAGGCCCACGGAAGGCCGAACACGTCCAGAAACCTCCCTCCCCGTTCCTCGAGCATCCTCTTCCTCGTCCCTTCACGATTCTCCTCGCTCCTCCTCCTCCTCCTCCTCCTCCTCCTCCTCCTCCTCCTCCTCCTCCTCTTCCTCCTCCTCCTCCTCCTCCTCCTCCTCACTCCTCACTCCTCACTCCTCACTCCTCACTCCCCACTCCTCACTCCTCACTCCTCACTCCTCACTCCTCACTCCTCACTCCTCACTCCTCGCTCGCCGAGCCTGGGCCCCCGCAGGCAAGTGTCCCGGCGCCAGCGGCAGGGGCCGCGCAGCGGCGCGCCCCCCCCCCCCCCCTTGGCGTGGGAGGCGGCGCTCCGGCGAGGGCCTCGCCTGCGGCGACCCTCGCCCTCGGCGGAGGGCCGGCGGGAGCGAAGGCGGCAGCGGAGGCGGCAGCGGGCCCTCCGGCGGAAGCGGAGGCGGCACGCCTCGGGAGCTTGTGGTCGACCACGCGCAGAGGGGGGTCGGGGAAGGGGGAAGGCGTATTTCCAAACACCCTTGCTTCTGAGGGGACGCAGGCTTTCTCTGTAGGCGTAGGGCCGGGACGACGAAGAAAAAACTGCATAAACAAAAAATGTGGCGCTTCGCGCGGATTTCTTGGGTCCGCGCTGGGGCCCCCCCGGCGGCGCCTCCGGCGCCGCCCACGGCGCGCTCCGCGCGCCAGGGAGGGAATCCAGCGCGGATCCAAAAAATCCGCGCGGAGCGCCAAAAGTTTATGTTTATAGCGTGCGTTCTTCTTCTATTCTCAAGCAGTGGCGAAGCATCCCGGCTCGCTTATAGGCCCACTAGAGAATGCTCTTCCAGGATCCTTGAGTGGTTTGCAAGAAATTGTCTTAGAACATGCTTGGCCGAGATTGTCTTGTTTGAACGCATCGGGTTGGCGGTCTAAGAACATTGTTGTTGTGATCAGAACATGTCTGGATTCTAAGAACACTCCGTGGTAGGCCTGTAGGAATGCTGGGACGGTCGGTCCCTGCCATCTGATCGACGACACGTAAGAGTGACCCTTCGCCGGAGTGACCTTTGGCGCGGGCCCAAAGGGGGCCCCCCTACCGCCGGACGAGATGCGATAGTAGCGTCTTGCGCGCTTGGGAGAGGTCCCCCCGTGGCCCCCAAAAAAGCCGCGCGCCAAAGGTCACTGTTGCCCAGGGTCACTCTTGCGCGTAGCCGATTTGAGACGGGGGTCAATGCGAACGGGGGTCAGCCAGAGGAGGCGGATCTTGCAGGATCCTCCAGAGCCAGGGTTGCGTTGACCCGGGCTTGCGTACAGAATCCTGCAGCATCTTGCAGGATCTTGCAAGGCCTGACTGACCCAGATTTGGATTGACCCGGGTCCGTAGATCCCCAAGCGCCTACGGTTGTTGGGCTCAGGGTTGTCAGGATCAGCCATTTACCGCCGTGGTTGGCCTGGTCTTCGGCAGCGTGCCCCCATCGGCCGGGAAAGCCCTCGCGCCCCAGCCGGTGGGCGTGCGAGGCCGTCTCTCTTGGAGCAGAAGGAAGATCAGCTGCAGCAGCAGAGGAAAGCATAGGAGGCAGGAAGCTGAGGACGAGTCCGAAGAGGAGGAGGAGAAGGAGGAGGAGGAGGAGAAGGAGGAGAAGGAGGAGAAGGAGGAGGAGGACGGAAATGAGGGGGATCAGGAGGAGCAGCAGCAGCGAGAGGCTAAGAATGAGAACGAGGAGGGCGGAAAAGAAGGGGATCAGGAGGGTAAGCAGCAGCAGGAGGATGTGAAAGAGGAGGAGGACCAGAGTAAGCCCAAGATGTACCAACGATGCTGCAGTACACCCTCCCGTCCCAAGTACTACAAGCTTTTCTTTTTACGACGCGAAGCGCCCCCCGCCCCCTTTAAAAAGACCAGCACACCATGGGCCTGCCATCAGGCGAGACCCCCGTTCTTAAAAGGCATTGCTCTGCATCCTGCAAGTGGGTACTAAGGAATGCAACCATTTCAACATGATCACACAATTCAACAGGGTGCCCAGCGGATCTCCGCTTTGAAAAAGGATCGCCCCACTTGAACAAGTACTGCGCAAGTCTCCACGTAGGGCCATAAACGTCGAGGAAGTCTAACGCGAATGCCCGCGGACGTACATATGTTCAAGCTTATGGCCTTTAGTATTGAGGACGTTTCAAGCAAGAACCCCATGTTGCAAAGGATACGTTCTCCATCCCTGTAAGTAATGCAAACTGTTAAGGCGAATGTGCTCGGAGCAGAGGCACTAACCCCTGTTTGAAAAGGAGCCGCCCTCCGTCATGGTAGGTATTGCTCACTCTGACGAGTGCGCACGGCGCTAAGGCGAAAACTCTATTTTGAAAATGGCCCTCCGTCCATGGTTATGATTGTTGCGGAGCACACGAAGTGCGGGTTGAGTACGTAACAGATTGCCGAAGTAGTTTTGTATTTGTGTTGGGTTGGGGGTTCGAATTTATCCCGCAAGACGTTCTGCCCAGTCCGTGACCATGGGGCTCAAGACGCAACCTGGAACCCCGCGCCGCCCTTGGGGCCATGTGTTGCTCGCCGGCGTCGCGGACGAGAAGTTCTGGAGTCGTGGAGTCCGCTACCCAGCTATCAAAATCATCGCGCGGGGCGTGGTGCGTTCGGAGGCTGCAGAGCGCGCGGCGGACCGCCACTCGGGCGTCGCCCTCGCGACGCCCAAGCGTCCAGCACGTGCCGGGAGCAGCGGCCGCGGAGCGCGAGAGCAAGCGGCTCGGAGCGCAGGCCACAGCGGACCAGGAGTCGGCAGCGCAGCTGGCCTCGGTGGCCGCTGGCGGCCGTGGTGGCGGCGGCAGCGGCAGCCACGGCGGGTCGCCCCTCCCCCCTCCTCCTCCTCCTCCTCCTCCTCCTCCTCCTCCTCCTCTCCCTCCTCCTCCTCCCTCCTCCTCCTCCCTCCTCCCTCCTCCTTCCTCCTCCTCCTCCCTCCTCCTCCTCTCCTCCTCCTCCCTCCTCTCATCCTCCTCTCCTCCACCGCCCTCTTCCTCCTCCTCCTGCGCTCTCCCTCCTCCTCCTCTCCTCCGCCTCCTCCTCCTCCTCCGCTCCTCCTCCTCCTCCTCCTCCTCCTCCTCCTCTCCTTCCTCCTCCTCCTCCTCCCTCCTCCTCCTCCTCCTCCTCCTCCTCCTCTCCTCCTCCTCCTCCTCCTCCTCCTCCTCCTCCTCCTCCCCTCTGCGCGCCGCCAACCCCCTCCTGCTCCGGCAGACGGCGGCCACCCTCGCAAGCGTCCAGTGGCGGGCGCTGTGTCACGACGCGAGGGCATCAACATCTGGAAGTTTCAGCGCGGCAAGTGCGAGCACGTGGGCCCCCACGGCGTGGCGCACGTCTGCCCGAAACGACTGCAGCCACACCCATCTCGGAGTGCGGCCCCAGTCGCGTTCGAGGCGTGCATCGCGAGGCCTGGGGCATTTGGCGCCGCGCTTCCGCTTCCGAGTGGTGTGGCGGGCGTACGCACTGTGCGTGCGGAGGCCCTGCTCAGGGGTTGCAGCGACGCCAGGTGCGTTGCACGGCGGCTTCCCTCAAGAGTCGCGCGCTGGCCTGTTGTCGCGATGCGCATTTGTTTTATTGTTTGGGTTTGCAGCTCTCGGCACAATTGTCTTGTAATCGGGCTGCGGGCCGTGAGTTGGCCGCACAGGCAAACAGTGGGTTCGCAGCCTGTAGCCATATTCGGGCTCGAGGCCACAGCAGCTGAAGGCGCCCATGGCACGATGGCGCCCAAGCGTCGATGGTCCACAGCGGTTGCTGTCAGAGTCATCGGCAGCGGCGTGTGAATTTTTAGAAAACCCATTGGTTTTCAACAGGGAACGACAGATCCCACTGAGAATTTCTTGGGTTCCTGCTAGCAGATGGATCCTCTTTTTCAGGCGCGGGCGCGCGCCTAACGGCGGGTTCGAGTGGCTCACACCTCGCCTCGCGGCCGTGTCCTCGCCCCGTGTGCTCTCGCCGCGCGTTGTGCGTTGCGGTCGTTTCCCCCCTCGTCCTCGTCCTCCTTGTCATCCTTCTCGTCGCCCTTCCCCCCCCTCCCGGCGATGTGGCTGCAGCCCCCCCAAAAAATGGCGCGCCCATCCCACGGCATGCCCCGCGTCTGGGCGGCACAAGTCGCAGGTCGGATCGCGATCCGGTTCCTGCGTCGATGAGCCCCAGCCGCGCCAAGCACCATCGCGCAGCGTCTGGTGGGGCGAGTTGCGCGGAGGCCTCCCGTGCGGCAGCAGCAGGCGAGGGCGAGGCCTCCCTGGCCCCTCAGGGCTAAATCGTCGAGATGGGCGACGCGGGACGCGCCGGCGGGGGCTGCTGGTTTCAAAGCTGGTGGCCGCGGTCGGTGGCGCCCCCTGTACGCGGCAGACGCGGTGCAGCGCTGGCGACGCAGCTGCAGGTCCGCGCCGCCAGATTTTGGCGAGGGCATGGCGGACAATCGGCGGGCAGCCCAGACGATGCCCCGAGGGCGCCGCGCCCGCGGGTCTCTAGGGCCAGTGGACGTGCTAGCGCAGGGCGCGTGGCCTCGTTCTCCTGGCGGACAGCATCACCCTCGGGCGTACGGCCTCGTGGGTTGCTGTTGGCTTCTGCGAGACGCGTCGCTCGTCGAATTGGGCAGATGCGGTGTCGCGCTGAGGCAGGCGAGAGCGTCCCTCACCTACAAGTGCGACAAGGCGCGGCAGCCCGCTGTTTCGAAGGCCCTTCGCTGCGTCTGCCATGCGGCCCCTGCCCTACTCGCGTTGTGTCACTCCCGTGCTCTTCGACGGCACGTGGAGGTGCTGGGCCGCTGGCGTGGCGAACTTGTCGGCCAGGCCTATCCCCCAGACCGCGCCGCTCTTCCCGCGCGTCGATTTCTAGCAGCCGGCGGAGGGAGACATGAGGGGATGGGTCGACGCCGTGGCTGCTGCAAACGGTTTCAGCACGACGTCCCAAGACGGCGCTCAGAGATTCGGGCGCCATGTGTGGCGCCGCACGGGCGCCTGCTGGCTGCAGCGCTTGGTGGCGGTAGGCGTCTGGTTGTGGCGCTAGTGCAGCGTCTGCCCGCTCATGCCCATGCGTCGGCAGCCGGCGCCGACAGCGAGGACGGAGAGTCAGCTCCGAGGTGGGGCGCTTCGAGTGCGAGGGCGACGGCGAGCTGGAGGAGGACGCGCCGGAGCGAGGTGCTGATAGTGAGAGGCCGCGCGACGTTGATTTAGGTAGGGGACCTGCCAGAGCCGCCGTAGTTACCACGCGCTTGGGCTGCGGTCTCCCTGTTGCCCATGCTGCCACCTGCAGGTGGTGTCTAGCAACGGCAGTCCCAGGGAAACACCTCCCGGGCGGGTGGTGCTCGAGTTGCTGCGGGGCTTTCTTCCCTTGTCTCCATTTCGTGCTTGAGCGGCGGGGTATGCGGCGCTTGCGAAGCCCCGCGTGGCGCCGGGAGGGCGCCAGGCGGCTGGGCGTCTGGGGGATTGGTGGGATCTCCCCGGGAGGTGGGCCGTGTCCACGTGGTGGCCGTCGCGGGCCGCGATGAACCGGCCAGGCCAGCGCTTGGCGCACTGTGTGTGGCTGGCGCTTCGCGGAAACTGGGTGCATTCCTTCCGTCCAGGTGCCGACCTGCCCGAACTGTTCTGGGATGAAGGCGAACGCGCTTGAGCAGGCGGAACAACTGCCCGCATTACCGCGCCCCTTCTGAGCAACCATGTTCCGGCCACAGTTTGCTTCTGACGGATAGCGGCGCAAGTTATCGTGTCGAAGGTCGTGGCCGTTTTCTCCTTCCTTTCGCTGGGGCAGCGGCAGGTGGACCATGAGTGCCTCCTAGGTGCTCTCAGGGGCGGAGTGGGAAGGCCGCAGTCTTCCCCCCCTGTGTAGGGGCGCCTGGGAAGCTGACCTGTGGACCGGGCGCGCTCGTGAGGCGCGCCGCCACCAAAACAGGAAGGTGGGGGGGTTGGGCGGGCTCACCGCAACGACATGGACGATTGTGGCGACGGTTGGCGCAAACGTGTACGACGAATGTGCGCGGCGCTCTGGCTTGAGCTCCATTTTGAGCACCGCCCGCCCTTCATCCTTGCATATGCTTGACAAGTCAAGCTTCAGGGCCACAAGTTGTGAAGAAGCCTCAGGCGGAACGCTCGGCCCGCCATACCGTCTGGTGGCAAGACAAGGAGGTGTTGTAGATGATGGAAAATCAAGAGACAACAACCCACCTCCACACCCACCATGCCTATCTCCATGTTTTTGTTTGTCAGAACGCCTGTGGATGTAGTCGACGCGCTCCTACAGCGAACAACTCGAATCGCCACACTTCTGGTCTCCTAAGATGTTTCAGAAACAGTTGTACGGGTGTTTTTGTTGTTATACAGTGGGCGTCGGGCCGCAGGCCCCAGATGGGAAGCTTTTGAAAATATGAAGTGTGGCGTGGTGGATGTGGGGGGGGCTTGGGTTGCTTTTCAAGAGATGGGGTGGAGGGAGAGGAGGAGGCGGCGAGGGAGAGGGAGGAGGAGGAGGAGGGGTGGAGGGAGAGGAGGAGGAGGAGGAGGAGGAGGAGGAGGAGGAGGAGGAGGAGGAGGAGGAGGAGGAGGAGGAGGAGGAGGAGGAGGAGGGGGGGGGTGGAGGGAGCGTGGGGAGAGATGGGAGGAGCAGCAGGGGCAGGAGCAGAAGCACGAGCAGCAGGAGGCGGCTCCTTGATCCTGGATCCTTCCTCGGAGGCTCACGGTCAGCCGACTGTGATACGTCACGGGCACTGTGCAGGCAGCAGGACAACAGAGAGCGTCCTGGGCCAAGTCACCCCCCCCCTGGCCTAGGAGTCCCTGAAACAGGCGAAGAGACCTGCGGCTGGGACTACCCGCCGTGGGGCACGTCGAAGGTGAGGGAGGTGAGGGGGGGGAGGGTGAGAAAAGAGAAGGAGCAGGAAGTGCCCAACTTGTTGGCACTCCCAGTTGTTCTGGTCCTGGTCTTCTGTCCCTAACATGGGCACAGGGACAAATCAATCAACGATGGGCAGTGCCTTCGCATCCCTGGCTCCGCGTCGAGTCGATCATCGTGCTCGGAGCTCCGAGACCGTGATATCGTCCAGTCAGGCAGTTTCGCACAGACGATGTGAAGTGGTACCGTCATATTGCCACTGTGTGCTCGCATTGTTGTTGTATTTTCTGGGGGGTCGCATATGGATGGTGGACACGAGGGATGCGAAAGGTGAGGTATTGCCATCCTCCTCCTTCTCCCCCTCCTCATCCTCCTCTCCCTCCCCTCATCACATCCATCAGAATCATCATCAGCAGCAGCAGCAAGAGCATCATCATCTACATCATCATCAGCATCATCATCATCAGCATCAACAACATTATCATCCTCATCATCACCATCACCATCATCATCATCATCATCATCATCATCATCATCATCATCATCATCATCATCACCATCACCATCACCATTGCCATCATCAGCCTTATCATCATCGTCGCCAGCGTCCTCGCGCACTTTTCCCCAACTCACAATCCCACCTATAGCGGGGCTCGTGTGTGTGGGCCTCTCGGGGATATCCAGAGGCGCAGCTCCACTGGAGTACCGATCCGTATGCGCGGGAGGGAAGAAAGAAGAGAGAAGGGGCAGAGAAGTGGCAGAGAAGGAGCCACCGAGAAGAAGAAGAAGAAGAAAAAGGAGAAGAGAAAAGAAAATGATAAGAATAATAAGAAGAAGAAGAGAAGAGCCATGGGCCGTCCAGAGCGGCCTCCGTGCTTGCGCTGTCCCCGGTGCGTGCCGGCTTGCCTGCCAGATCCTGAACAAGCAGATCCAGACCGGGCAGGCCAAGACCGACCAAGAGGCTTGGCGGACGGGGCAGGAGGGAGCACGCGGGCGCTGGCCGAGCCTGGGCCGCTTTTGATCATGGGTGCCGTGGTCTGCGTCTCGGGGAGGGCGTTGCGACGTGGGCCAGTGTTCCCCGCCTTCGGCACTCCGAAGACCGCTGGCGTCGAGCATTTGATCCCGCGCGCATGTTGGCCCCCAGAGTCCGTGGCTACCGCTTGGGGGTACCCCACGCAGGCAGTCGGATTTTCCATGGTCTTGAGCACCGCGCTGGGGCGGCCAGGCGATTTCTTCATACGTGCTGTTTCCTCGCGACCTTGGGGCTGGTTTGGGATCGTCGCGTCCTTCGGCGACTAGCAGGGAAGCAGCTTGGGGTCCCAGACTGAGTACGCGCCCTCCCCGCACTCCGCCTCGATCCCTCCCTTCTCCCTCCTCCTCCTCCTCCTCCTCCTCCGCCTCCTCCTCCTCCTCCTCCTCCTCCGCTCCTCCTGCTCCTGCCCAGGCCGCAAGGGTCCAAACGCTGGTCTAAGGCCCACTACGATCCTTGCCAGGTTTGTTGGTTGTGTAGGGTTGCCGACTTCCGAGCACGGACTCCGGGATCTGAGCCCAGACCTCCGACGTCGTGACGTCGTGATGCTCACACACCGTGGACCCCCGGAGGTTTGGAACACTTCCCTGGTCGAGTTGGTAGAGACGGGAGCCAGAGCAAGCGGGGGTCAGCTAGAGCGCTGGATCTTGCAGGATCTCGCAAAGCCAGGGTTGCATTGACCCGGGCTGGCACTCAGGATGCTGCAGGATTTTGCAGGATCTTGCAAAGCTTGACTGACCTGGGTTTGGATCAACCCGGGTCAGTAGAAGCCCGACCCAGGACCGGTTTTTCATCCTGATCGTTTTTTTCTGATTGTCTTGTCCCGAGAATGGGCAATCAATCAACCAAACAATTACGCCGTGTCTGCACGACATACCGGCGGAAGAAGTGCCGCCGGCTGGCCGAGCGTGGCCAGAAATCGTCCATCGCGATTTCTTCACAACGCGAGTGGAACGCTTCCAGGCCATAAATTAACACTCAGGCGGCCATTCAGGACGATTCGGGCACCCATGGAACGCTCTCGGCAACGCGCAGCCGCTGGCAACTGTCCCGAGGCCTCCCAGGCCATAAATCAACCCTCAGACGGCCATTCAGGACGACTCTGGCACTCATGGGGCGCTCTCGGCAAGGCGCAGCCGCTGGAAACTACCCCGAGGCCCGAGAACTGGTTATACGCACCGAAAGTTTTAGCCAGCGCTGATTCCACACAGTGAGTCATTGCACTGTGAAGGTGCAAGCTGTGAGGAGCAAGCCACGTTCTGCAAGCTATGCGGAGTGAGTTGCGTGGTGTAAGCGATGCGATGTGACCTACGTGGTGCGAGCTACGTTTAGCAAGCTATGCGGTGTGAGAGTGAGCAATGTGAACCACCCAGGGTACCTGGCGCCCACGAGGCGCCCACGGGCGGGAAAACGGCAAAACTTCGGCGGACCTACCCAGGGCACGAGGCGCACGTGGGCGGCAACGTGGCGAAACCTCGGCGGACGCACCCCGGGCGCGAGGCGCCCTCGAGGCGCCCACGGGCGGGACTGTGGGCGAAGCATGGGCGGGCCAGCCCAGCTGCTCGGAAGCCCGAGACAGACCTCCTGGGTGGAGGCACTGCCTGGGGAGCCCCCGACAACTGCAAGGGGGGCCCGGGGAGGCCCAGGTCCGGGCCTGCCGCCGTCGTCACCTTTGCACGCTGGACCGGGGCTCCGTGCCGGAGCAGTCCGCGCAACCCTCCGCCGCGAGGCCCCGGCGTCGGATTCCGCAGCGCTGGGGGCGGACACGGGGGCGGCGGGCACCGCAGACGGGCTGACGGCGACGTGGGCAACGGCGATGTAGGCTTCGGTGGTGTGGGCGCGCGTGGCTCGCGCTTTCCTGCACTTCGCTGTGTCGTGTTCGCTCGATCCATGTCGCAGATGGGAGATGCAGGAAGGTCTGCAATCTGGTTAACATCCCCTTTAAGCAACATCGCCGTTACCCCGGCCTTGGAGGCAAGCGATGAGCAGGAGTGGCAAGCGATTGTCGAGGCTGGAGATTTTCGGACGTGTTGCGCCATTGTCGGCCTCCTGGGGCGCCCTCGTGGTCATGGCTGGGGTCCCCTAGAATTTCTGGCCAGAACGCAACCCCAGGACGGGGCTGGTCGTCGCTCTGCGACCCCCAAACCCAGACCTCTTCGCGTCGCGAAACGATCGCGACGGAAAGCGGTTCGCCAGTCTGAGTCTCGAGGGCCCCTCATTGGGCCCCAGGGCCTTCTAAAAGCGGCTGAGCACGAAACGCCGGTCTTGGGGAAAGGATGTGGTCCCGACCTCTGGACGTGCTCGATGTGGGAAAACGAAGGCAAACCACGTCGAGGGCGTGGCTCTCGTTCCCTGGAGGGGATATCGCCCCTCCCCCCCTCCCCCTGGTGCCCGACGGCCGCCCGCGGGGGCTCGAAGATGGCCGCGCTTCGCCGTCTGGGCCCGAGAGGTGCCCCTCTCCAGAAGGGGGGGGGGGGGGGGCGAGGCTCGGGCGAGGGCAACGCGAGAGCGCGAAGCCGTCGCGCCTGGGGCTCCGCGCCCGCATTGCCCGTGCGTCGCGTGGGCCGTGTGCAGGCGGTGCGTGGTCGGCGCGACGCCAGGGCGTCGCACCGCCGCGGCGCTGTCCGTGGAGGGAAGGACGGGCGGGGAGGCTGCAGCCCCCACGGGCGAGCAGGCCTCGCAGAGGCGCCCACCGGCAGCACTCCACGCAGCCCCTGGGCCGCAAGAAGCACGCGAGCGAAGGAAGAAACACGGGGTCCATTGCGCGGACATTCGCGCGTGGGGTCGCGCGCGAGCGCCCTCTTCTCCACGCGGTGTGCCACGCTGGCGGCCCGCGCAAGCCGCAGCGCAAGGTCGCTGTGTCTCTTCTCACAAGGCCTGCCTCTTTTCATCGCTCGCGTGCCGAAAAGTGCGGCGCGACGACGAGGCGGGAAGGAGGAGGGAGGGAGGGAGGGAGGGAGAAGACGGACGAAGGAAGCGGGAAGTGCCAGGAAGGCAGCATGAGGGCCCGCACGGGCCGACTTGTACTGATGCGAACGCTCGCTGGGGCCCGACTGCTGTCACAGTCGCTCTTCGAAATGAACCCCCCGCCGCGACACCAGCGCGGTGCACGAGCGAGGTGGATAATTAGGAGGGTCGCGGGAGGGCTGCGGCTGGCCCCATGGTCGGTCGGAGGAGCTGCCAGAAGAGCCCCCTCTCCCCAGGCGATGGGCGATCCCAATGGTCCAGACCCAGATCTCAAACGATACGATGTGTTCAGTCGCAGCGTTTTTACTAAATGTCGGCCTTAGGGGGCCCGCTACCCTCCCCTGGGACCATGAAAAATGGGTCCGGGACGGCAAACTACAGACAACCCGCATAGTGGTGAGGATGAGCGATTTGCCAAGGCTACCCTTGCATCCTTCCCCTTCGGCCCATCCTTGGCGCGTTCGCTGGCCGCGCCCCGACCGCAGAGTGTCGACATGGCCTTCCAAGGCCCTAGCATCCTTATCAGGCGTCCTCTTTATACGGGTTGGCTGTATCCCTGGGAAGCGGTCGGGACTTCTGGGGCCGCGGGTTGAAAATTCCAGACTTTCTTTCCGCTTTTCGCTGCCCAGTCGTGGCCCGGCTAGAGTTTGGACGCCGCCTTTTGACCCGCTTCAGTGAAGTGGCTTCACGAGGCCGTTGACCAAAAACACTCACCAGCCACCCCCCGCTCGGAAGCTGCCTGCCCAGCGGGCCTGGGCTGGGCACTCTGCCCCACTGGCACGGTCACCTCGTCGCCACCGGTGTGTGTGCCCCACCTCGCCCCCCTTGTGGCTCGTGGATGGCGTCGGCCATGCGGATAGACCACACGGCCCTGGAGATGGCCAGTTGGAGGTGACGGCGTGTTATACGCTTACGCTCTTCTCGAGTCAGTGGCCACTCTGTGACACCCCAGCTGTGTGCTTTGGCCTGGGCTCGACGCTCTACTACAATTTCCGGCTCCTCGGCCAGGAGCTTCGTCATCTTCCTGGCCTGAGCCTGAGCTGCGGCGCGTCTCCTTTCTCTCTCTCTCTCTCTCTCTCTCTTTCTATGTGTCGTGTTTTCTTTTCTTTCGCCTCTTGTCCTGTCTCGTCCCGTGCCTCGTGCTTCTTCCTCGCTCCTGCTTTGTCTCCCTCTTCGTTCGATCTGTCTTCGTACCACTTGCGCTGTCCGCGTAGTGGCCTGTCGCTTGTCCGCTGCCCTGCACTCGCGCGGCGTTGCATATGTTTGAGTATACCTGACGGTGCGCGGCTCTTTCCGCGTCACTCGCAATCAAAAAGTAGCCCCACCAGCCCATCCAGAAACGATGCCTAGGCAAGTTGCCTTGATCGGGCATATCGGGGAGCACGCAGTGGAAAAAGAGTTGGGAAGTCGTCATGCCCCAACAGGGGGAGGATGGAAGAGGAACCAGCGGAGGAGGATTAGGCGGATGACGAAGAGGAGGAGGAGGAGAAGGAGGAGGAGGAGGAAGAGGAGCCAAGAGTCATCAAAGATGTTGGAATAAACCCTCCCACCATGTTCCTTCTTCAGATGCCCCCACAACGGTTCATTTCCATTGAGGGGAGTGTCCCGTTGGAAGACAACCATTTGGAGACCCTGAAGCAGGCCAAAACATTGTTTTCGGAATTCTAACGCCACGGATCAACCTGACTGTCGCGCTTTGACGATCTTGAATCGTGCCACAACGCCATTCTTGAGACTTTAACACTTAAACGAATGTGCGCGGCGCCAAGGCGAAAGCCACAGTTTGAGAACGGGTTCCCTTTCAAGCCGTGAAGAGATTGCAGAAGTTTATATATAATGGGCGGCGCTAAGGCGCGAGCCACATTTTGAAAAGGAACCGCCCTCAATCCTTGAAGTTTTTACAAATGTTTACAGCGAGTGGGCGCGGCGCTAAAGCGCGAGCCACATTTTGAAAACGACCGCCCTTCATCCGCGAAACGGTTGCCAATTTCGAAGCTCCAGGGTCATAAATGGTGAGGAAGCCTCAAGGGAAACGCCCGGCCCGCCGTAAAAACTGGCCTCGGGGGGCGACAGGGAGAAGTCTTCTTTTATAAGGAATTGGAATGGAAGAGGAGGAGGAGGAGGTGAAAGAGGGCGAGCAGAAGGGCCAGTGGCCTCTTGGATGCTTCTCGGAGTTTCTTCGGATGTCTCTTGAAAGTTTGTTGTAGGCCTCGGGGCCTCTCGGGTGCCTCATGGCAGTCCCGGGGGCCTCTTGAAGCGTTTTGGGTGCATTCGGAGAGCCTCGTCGGGCCTCTTGGGGACGCCCTGGGAGTATCTTAGGGGCCTCGTGGAGGCACCGTGGGGGCATCTTGGAGGCTTCTTGTGGCCTCCTGAGCACCTCGGGGCCCTCTTCGGGCACTCTTGCGAGCGTCGAGGTCCATATTGGAGGAGATCGATCAAAGGAGGGGCGTAGTGAATCAGCCCCCCCAGGATGCCCAAATCTTGTCAAAGCCTGAATAAAATCAATGATTTGCGCCTCCTGGCCGAGGCCGTCTTGGACGTTCGTTCTAACCCGTCGCCGCCCCCCCCCTCCACACCCCGGGGGGGGAGAGGGGGGGTCAAGCCAGGTGCGTTCGCGTCATATCTGACGTCCTACCCCTCCCATCCCATACCATGGCGTAGATCCCCTCTCTATTCTTCAGTCTGGCGTCGAGCAGGGCAATGATCCCGAAAGGGTGTGCGATGCATCGTAGAGCACGGCATAGCAGGGCGTAGAAAAGCACGGCAGAGCGTAGTATGTCATAGTACGGCGTGGCGTTGCGTAGTGAAGGATTGTATCACAAAGCACTGCAACGCAAAGTATGGCATCACACATCGGCACAGAACAGAACATGGCATAGCATGGCGTTGAAGATCAAAGCGTAGCATGGCATAGCATGGCGTGGCAGTGCGTAGTCAAGCACTGCGGATCCTACCATTGCAGCTGAAGGCATGGCATCGCACAGCGTAACACCACATAGCATTGCATTACAGGCCGTGGCATGGCATTTGAAATAATGACGCCAGGGCTGCAGCGGGAGCATGAGTCGAAACGAGCGGAAACGCGGAAATGAGGCCAGCGCTCCAACGGGAGCACGATTCGGAACGAGAGGAAGCGAAGAAATGAGGCCAGCGCTGCAGCGGGAGCAACATTTTGAAACAAAACCCAAGCGAAAAACAATGTCCGAAATCCTGTGTAAAAAACAATGCGCGGATGGGGCGAACATCTTCCGGACGTCATCAGAGGAGAGAGGGAAGTATTTTCAGATCGTGTACTTGTAAGTCCCTCCCCGAAGGGGGGGAAGAAGGGGGGTTGGAAGAGGAATCGTTCTAAACAACTCACGTCCATAGAGTTGGTGGGATTAGCACCCCCCCTTCTTCCCCATGAGGCCGAATTGTTGCCAAAACCTTGATGCAATCAATGATGTTGGCCTTCTCGCCGAGGCCTTTTGGGGCTTCTGTTGTGTCTCTGGGAGGCCGCTTGGGGGTCTCTTCGGGGCATGTTGGGGGCCTCTTGGGGGCCTCTTGGGGCCTCCTGGGCACCTCCTGGGGCCTCCTGAGCACCTTTTGGGACCGTGTTGGGGCACCCTTCGGAGCCTGGGGGCCATACTCAAGTCTTGACGCTTCGCGCATCCCCACCAGCTACAGCTGGTGGCATAGCCTGCCCCTGCTAGCCCGGCGTTCGACCAGTTTCGCGCGCCCGCGTACCAAAAGTATCCCCACCAGCCCATCCAGAAACGATGCCAAGGCGATTTGCTTCTCAGAGTCTCTTCGGATGCCTCTTGGAAGCTTTTTGGAAGCCTCTTGGAGCGTCTTGGGGGCCTCTTAGCGGTCCTGGAGGCCTCTTGGAGCGTCTTGGGTGCCTCGGGGAGCCTCTTGGGGCCTCTCGGGAGCCTCTTGGGGTCCTCTTGGAGCCCTCTTGGGGCGCTCTTGGGAGCTTTCGAGGCGCTCTTGGGGCCATCTTGGAGGCCATCGATCAAAGAAGGGGATGGTCGCAATTCGCGCCCCCCCCTCGGGAGCACCAAGAATACCCTCCTGGACCCCTCTTGGGGCGCCCTTGGAGCGTTCTTGGGCGCTCTTGGGGCCGTCTTGAGGCTCTCTTGGGCCCCTCTTGGGGCCCTCTTGGGCCATCTTGGAGCCATCTTGAGGCCTCGGAAGGCTATCGGAAGCGAACGGGCGACGATGCAAAAATCATGTATGTTCCACTGATTTGTGTTAAGATTCTGGCTTCTTGGAGGCCTCCTTGGAGGTTTCGGAGGCCTCTTGGAGCGTTCTTGGGGCCTCTTGAACCATCTTGGAAGCCATATTGGGCCATCTCGGAGGTCATCTTGGGCTCTCTGAGGCGCTCTTGGAGCCGTTCTGGGCGAAAAAATACCGTCGGATTCCTCGCGCAGAACCCCCCGTCCAGGTCTAGGGGAAGGGGGTGGGGGGGAGGGGTAAACCCTTGCCCGAAGGGGAAAAAGGGGGTGGAAGAGGAAACTCCCTGAACCACTTACGCCCAGAGGGCTGGTGGGATTAGCGTTGCCCTCCCCAGGAGGCCGACATGTGGCCAAAACCTTAGTAAAGTCAATGACTGTGGCTTCCTCGTCGAGGCCGTCTCGGACGCTCTGAATCGTCGCGACCCTTCTCCCTGTCCCGGTCCAGGGGGGTAGGGGGAGGGGTCAAGACTCCCTCCCCGCCCGCAAGCCGTCTCGCTCACTCCCACCCGCCCTCCCAACACATACGCAGCAACCCGAGGCTGGCCCGAGCCGCAGCATATTCAGCAGTCGTCTTTGGATGGGCAGCTACTGGGGGCGAATCCGCCGCCGCCGCCGCCTCCGCCGCCGCCGGCGCCGCCCGCCGCTGCCGCCGCCGCGGCGCCGCCGCCGCCGCCGCCGCCACCGCGCCGCCCGCCGCCGCCGCCGCCACCGCCGCCGCCCCCGCGCCGAATCGCCGCCGCCGCAGCCGCGCCGCCGCCGCCGCCCCGCCGCCGCCGCCACCGCCGCCGCCGCCGCTGTGCCGCAGCCGCCGCAGCCGCTGCCCCCGCCGCAGCCGCCGCAGCCGCCGCCGCCGCCGCCAAGTGTATTATGTATTGTTTTTTGACACGGATGGTGGGGGGAGGCCGCATCGGGTTCGCCGCGCATGCTCCGAATTTGGAGGCAGAGTGTGTTTTGTAGTGTTTTGTTGCCAGGGATGGTGGGGGGTGCCCTCATGGACTCGGGTTGGCTCTCAGTCGTCTGGGGGAGGGGGTGTATATTAATAGGGAACAGTGATGAACCCTTCCCCAGAGACGAGGAAGGGGGTTGGAAGAAGAGATGCTTTGAAACCACTCACGCCCTAAAAAGCTGGTGGGGCTACCCGAGACTCGCCCAGCCATTTCTCCACGCGAGGCGAATATTTGTGTGAACGGAAACACACCCACACAAATCGCCAGATATGCACGATCTGCTCTGCCCTCACCTCCGCCGTGCCTCCCAGGAGTCCACGAGGTGGCGACAGCTGCGCAGTCCGCAGCCTCGAGGGGGACGGGAGGGAGGAGCGAGAGGAGGTGGAGACCACGGCGCTCTGCTCCAGAACGAGAACCCAACACGGGAGGGCTGGGAAGAAGCGCATCGGCGGATCTCGGGGGAATCGGCTGAGTTGGGCGACTCGAGGGCAGGGTGGGGCTGTCTGGGCTGCTCCCGGGGCCGCTCCGGCCCCAAGAGGGGGGGGGGGGGGGGACCCACCGCCCAACAGCCGAGCGGCCCGCCCGCCCATCCCCGCAGCGAGGCCATCGAGAACGTCTTCCTGAAGCCGAAGCCCGGGGAGGCGAGTCCTGCGCTCGGCCAGCTCGCCGGGCGAGTCCTGCGCCCGGCGAGCCTCCTTCCAGCTGCCCTCCTTGGCATCGCACGGGCGATCGAGGGGCAGCTAGGATGATCTTGCGAAACATACGCGCACGAAGCCGAAACATGCACGCCGATGGCAGGCCTCCTGCTCGTCGTCGTCGCCCTCCTGCGAGCGGAAGGCTCGAGGCAACGAGAGGAAACAGCGGCAGCCCGAGGAGCATTCAATTCCCGAGACAGTTTCCGTGCCACTTCTAGCACGGGCTGCGCGCAGCAGCATCTGCCGCGCCCAGTGCGGCGCAGTCTCACCATTCTTGCACGGAGTGACCTGCTGCTGCCATCCACGCCCTGCGTGCCTGAGACGCATGGGCGCTCCTCCTCCTCCGCCGCCTCCTCCAATAGGACTCCCGCATATGACTCCCGGCTTGGCGCCGCGCACAATTTTCAGCGGCTTCAAGGATGGAGGACAGGTGCTTTTCAAAAAGGTGATTTTCGCCTTGGCCCCGCGCATATTCGTTTTCAAAGCTTGCAACATGTTCAAGGATAGAGGGTGGCTCCTTTTCAAGATGTGGTTATCGCCCTAGCGCCGCGCACATTCGTTTCAAAAATTGTGACAGCTTGAAGGATTCGTATGGTCGAAGTCCCATAAATGGTGTCCTGGCAAGATCTACGACCGGTAAATTCTGGATGGCGTGTCGCTCCGCCAGTCCTGGTCTACCACGCTTCGGCGCGACACGCTACCCACGTCCCAGCCCCAAGCGTCAACGTCCTGAGCTTTGCCCAGCCTCCAGCCCCGCGGAGCGAATCGACACGCTATCCGCTTGCATGGCATAGCGTGTCGCCAGGGCCGCCACAGCGAAACGCTAAGCGCTAATCAAAAGTTCCCGATCATAGGATTGCCAGGATGCAACAGTCACGTTGATCCTGCTTTGGCACGAGTGCAGATTCTCAGTCGATTGTCTTCTAGTGTACCCCTTCCTGCATGGAAAATTAACTTTTGGAGGGACGTGTGAAGAGGGAACTTGGAGGGAGGGTTTTTTGCAACATCGGTGATGCGTCTTGGGTTTGCACCGGTCTTCCTCCTCCTCCTCCTCCTCCTCCTCCTCCTCCTCCTCCTCCTCATCCTCCGCCCGGCAGGCCGCCCCCTGGGTCACGCCCACTCGACCCTGGGAGGGGGGGCTGCGGAGGCCTCAGGAGCGAAGCAGAGGCGTGCGCGGCATGAGTTCACGCGGCGTTCGAGATCGCGCGCACAACGCCAGCGTTCACGAGACGCGAGGGCGGCCTCGCGCAAGCCCGGGGGAGGAGGCCCGGCCCTCGGGGTTAGGACGGACCCCACGCGCCTTTGCTGCCCAAGAAGGCCGCCCGTCCCCCAGCAAGGCCCATAGCGACGGCATCCATCCTCTTCGAGGGTGGTGCCTACCGTCCTTGCCCGTAGGCGCTGTGTGCCCCTGCAGGAGCTTCTGGGGTGGCCGTATGGATGGTCATAGCCAGGGAGGGCATATCTGTGCACCTGGTTGGGCGCGCAAGGCCGTTTGGGGCTCCCTGAGGCCGTGGGGCGGATCGGGAGCGGCAAGGAATGATTGTCATCGGGGGCGTCGGTTGCAGCCTTAGGCCTGGGATCGGTGCGCGGGCAACGACGGTGTTGGTGTACAGCTGACGTTCTCTTGATTCAGGGGAGAATGGGGGTGATGCCAGCAACATCGCAGAGGAAGAGGAGACGGAGGAGGCGGGGAGAGGAGCGATACGGGAGGAGGCAGGAGGCAGGAGGCCGGAGGCAAGAGGTGGATCTTACCGCTGTTCGTTCACACCCTGGGATAATCCTTTTAATAGCCTGTAGAACCTGACTCGCTGAAAGAGCCGCACAGGTGGCAGGGTATCATACTCGAGGGGACCTCGTCGTCTGCATACCCGAGGAAATACAGCCTGTGACCCTGGGGCCTGGACACCAGTTCGGAGTGATGAGAGCAACGGGCAGGGCAAGCTTTGAGGGCGCCCTGGGTAAGCACTCGCTCGCCCTCGAGGGGCCGCGCAGAGAAGGCGCTGGCCGATCCTGTGCTACTGATCGGCATGGGCTGTGCTTCGGCCGAAGAAGGGCCCACGCGAGGGGAAGCGGGAGGCACATCCGCCCCCCCAAAAGGAGGGCCCAGCTGCTGCCGCCCCAGCGGGCGGACTGGTGGACTCTTGAAGCGAAGCAGGGTCCTTCCAGCAACTGTGGGGCCACAGCTGAGGCGCGAGCGAGACGTACCAGAGATCGTAAGGAAGAGCTTGAGTTGTCGTGGACTCCAGATTCTTAGGCTTACGCCACACCGCCGACCCCTTGTTTATGCCAATCTGGGGGTAGTAGAAGCTGCGAAGGGGTGAAAAGGCGAGTGATATTTGTTTGGTGTCTGTTCGCCGCCACCGCCAGAGGGTCTCGGGCAGTTCCGCGGGGAGGTCCGAGCGGACAGCGACACTGCGAGTTTTGGAGCCACTCGGGGGCCGTTTCGGAGCCTCTGGGGTGCTTCTTGGGGGTTCCTTGGGGCGTCTGGGCGGCCTCGTGAGGGCCTCTGGGGGCCTCTTGGGGCACTCTTGGGGCCCCCTGGGGCTCCTGGGGGCAGAAAGCTAGAGTTTCAACATGTTTGGTCGCCCTCTTGGGCCCCTCGTGGTGCCGTCTTGGAGCCCTCTTGGGCCGTCTTGGGGACCTCTTGGGCCGTGTTGGGGCCGTCTTGGGCCGTCTGGAGGCCGTCTTGGGGGCCTCTTGGGCCATCTTGGGGCTGTCTTTGGGGCCTCTTTGGCCGTCTTGGAGCGTCGGGAAGCCGAAAAGGCGGAAAAGCAAAAAACATCGAAAAACACTATGGAAAATCAACAATTTTAGACTCTTGGGGCCCTCTTGGGAGGCTTGTTTGGGACCTCGGGGGCCGTCTTGGAGACCTCTTGGCCCGTCTTGGGGCCATCTTGGGCGTCTTGGAACGGTCGTTTGGCGTCTCGGGGCCTTCGTGGGCCGTCTTGGAGGCCTCTTGGGGGCTTCTTGGCCCGTCTTGAGGCCCTCTTGGGCCCGGAAAAGCTCCGTGAACCGCTCGTCCCGGCCGTGGTGCGCTCGTCCTGGCCCCCTCCCCGCCTCCAAATCGGCCCTCTTGGGCCGTCTTGAGGACCTCTTGGGCCGTCTTGGGGCCGTCCTGGGCCGTCTGGAGGCCGTCTTGGGGGCCTCTTGGGCCATCTTGGGGCTATCTTTGGGGCCTCGTCGCGCGTCTTGGAGCGTTGGGAAGCCGGAAAGGCGGAAAAGCAAAAAACGTCGAAGAACACATGGAAAATCAACAATTTTAGACTCTTGGGGCCTTCTTGGGAGACTTGTATGGGACTCGGGGGCCGCCTTGGAGACCTCTTGGCCCGTCTTGGGGCCATCTTGGGCGTCTTGGAGGGGTCGTTTGGCGTCTCGGAGCCTTCGTGGGCCGTCTTGGAGGCCTCTTGGAGCCTTCTTGGCCCGTCTTGAGGCCCTCTTGGGCCCGGAAAAGCCCTGGAACCGCTCGTCCCGGCCGTGCTGCGCTCGTCCCGGCCCCCTCCCCCCCTCCAAATCGGCCCTCTTGGGCCGTCTTGGGGACCTCTTGGGCCGTCTTGGGGCCGTCTTGGGCCGTCTGGAGGCCGTCTTGGGGGCCTCTTGGGCCATCTTGGGGCTATCTTTGGGGCCTCTTTGCCCGTCTTGGAGCGTCGGGAAGCCGGAAAGGCGGAAAAGCAAAAAACATCGAAAAACACTCTGGAAAATCAGCAATTTTTGACTCTTTGGGCCCTCTTGGGAGGCTCATTTGGGACCTCAGGGGCCGTCTTGGAGACCTCTTGGCCCGTCTTGGGGCCATCGTGGGCGTCTTGGAGCGGTCGTTTGGCTTCTCGGAGCCTTCGTGGGCCGTCTTGGAGGCCTCTTGGGGGCTTCGTGGCCCGTCTTGAAGCCCTCTTGGGCCAGGAAAAGCCCCGTGGAGCGCTCGTCCCGGACCCCCCCCCCCTCCAAATCGACGTGGAGCGCTCGTCCCGGACCCCCCCCCCCCCTCCAAATCGACCGGACCGGGCTCCCGGGGGAGGGGTTTGGGGAGGGGGAAGCATCTCACACGCCGATGATCCCCAAGGGGTCGGCGGATTTCGTCGCAGGTCTGGACCCGGACTACAGTTTAAGAAAACGCTGGGCATGAAGCCGCTCCTCTCAGCGTAAAGATGTCTTAGCTCGGAGTAGAAGGGGGTACAGTCAGCGGAGCCCGAGGCGCGCGGGTGCCCCGCGTGGAGCTCGTGCCAGCTCCGCTGCCACCAAGTTCGGTGGACCCGCGGAGGCGCGGCAGCTCTCGGATGTGCCGCCGCGCCGCTTGCTCCGGCGCGCGGCCTTCCATGTCGGGCAGGGCGCCGCGGGCACCAGGGCGAGCGCCGCCTCGGACGCGGTGGGCTCGCCGTGGGGCTTTGCGGCGGTGCCGGCTGCGTCGCCTCGGGCGCGGGACGCAGGGTTTGCTGTGGGTTTGCCGTGGGTTTGCCGTGGGGTCGGCGTCGTCCACGTGGGCGCATCGAGGCCACGCGGCGCGGCGACATATGCTTTCAGTACCAGCACAAGCACCGTCTTCCCCTGGCGCCTCAAAGGGGCCGAAGCTCCTGCCTGAACCGATGTGGTTGCGGAAGGTGGTTGGGTTGGGGTGTTTGGCATCCACGGCCTATTCTGGAACAACCTTGGGAGCTTCTTGCAGATTGGCAATTTCTACGCATCCGTCTCCCTGTCTGTTTCCGTGGCGTTGGGAAGAACCGTCTTGGCGTCAGCAACATTGGCATATTTATCGGCAGCAGCTCTACACATCGCGTGCCACCGTTCGGGACGGGCCCCCCTGGAGGCTATAAACATCCTCATGCGCTTTCGTGTTGTGGAGCCTGGGGCAAAAGGCAGGAGGAGGAAGAGGAGGAGAGAGGGAGGAGGGGGAGGAGAAGGAAGAGAAGGCATGACGAGGGAGGAGGAAGAGGGAGGAGGAAGGAGGACGGAGGAAG